ATATTGCAAAGCAATAGCAAATAAAAACAGCATGTCTGAGCACAAAAACAGATATTGAAGATCCAGTGGAACAGAATAGAGGACCCGGAATTATGAATCCACCCAGCTATGTCCCCTTATTTTGACAAAGGTGCCAAAGAAACATATGATGAGAGAAAAAGACAGCCACTTCAACAAATGTTGCTGGAAATAGTGGTTATCTGCTTGCAGAAAACTGAAACTAAATCCATGCCTATCACCCTTTTATAGTTTTCAATTCAAAAGGATTAAAGATCCTTAATATTCAGACCCAAAACTCTGAAGTTAGTATCAGGAAGAGCAGGGAATACTCTTGGAACCATAGGTATAAAGCAAGAATTCCTCAATAGAACTCCAGGCAGCCAGCAACTAAGGGAAGGATGGACGAATGGACTACATGAAATTAAAAAAAGCTTCTGTACAACAAAAGAAATGGCTCTAAACTGAAGGACACCCCAGAGGGTGGTAAAGAAAATATTTGCTGCTATACATTCCAGACAGGAACTGAATAACCAGAATAGATAGGGAGCTCAAAAAACTAAACTCCCCCAAAATCATGAATCAATAAAGAAAGGGGCAACTGAACTAAACAGAACTTTTCAAAGGAAGAATCCAAATGTTTACCAAAAAAACACATGACCATCTCTTGGCCATAAAGGAAAAAGCAAATTCGAAAAACCATGCTTTTAAGATTCCACCTCACTCCTGTTAGAAATAGCTATCATCAAGAACACCACCAAACAACAAATGTTTCGCAAGGATGCAGGAAAAGAACCCTCAACACTGCTGTGGGAATGTAAACTAGCTACAACACTCTGGAAACAATGGATGGAAGTTCTTTAAAAAATAAACCATTGGATTGAGAACCATGGCTCAAGCGATAGAGTACCTGCTTGCAAGTGCAAAGCCCCAAAGTTCAAAATCCCAGTCCCACCAAAAAAAAAAGCATAGATCTTCCATATGGTCAGCAAATACCACTCCAGGGATACACCAAAGGATGCAACAAGGTTACTCCAAAGGCACTTGCTACACCATGTTTATTGCAGCACCTATTCACCAATAGGCCAATTATGGAAACAACCAGAGCCCAACTACTTGATGAATGGATTAAGAAATGTGGGTATTTATACACAATGGGAATTTAGCCACAAAGGAGAATGAAATTTTGTCATTCATCAAGTAAATGGATGGAACTGAGAACATCATCTTAATAGCGAAGTAGCCATGCTCAGAAGGCCAAAAAATCGTATGTTTCTCCCTCATATGCGGACTTTAGACTAAAAACAATTGCAGTAATATTGGACATGGGTTCACCACACTAAGGGCGAGAAACAAGTACAGGAAGGAATAGGGAAAGGCAAGGAAAAACCTAAAACTTGAAATTGTGGTGATGTGCTCACTGTAAGAGGAGTGAAATAGTAATCTTAAACTGCAGAGGTCAATATGGGAAAGTGACCAGGAAGAAGTGAAGAGGTTTCTCGTAGAGATGAACCAATTCAGGTTGTAAAAAAACACTTGTCATGGGAAGGTAATGCTAGGGAATCTCTCTGTATAGGATATCCTTTCTCAGCTAGCAAAAATGCGATATCTTTCTTATTATGCTATTTCTTCCTTCAACAAAATTGGAGAAGAGGCAGAACAGGTTTCTGCCTGGAAGCCGAGGTAGGGTCCGGTGGTGCGGGGAAGAGATGGCCCAAACAATGTAACATGGAATAAATGTACAAACAATCTTCTTTAAAGAAAGAAGGATCCGGATTTTTGTTTCGTAATAAGTTTACTGCCCATATGTTTAATGCAAAAGGTCCAACTTTCCCTTACTGAGTTCAATGCCCACTTGTTGTCATTCAAACACAATCTCATAGCATTTGAAATTTGGGGGCAGGCCTCAATATCACAAGATTGTTACTTTGGCAAGTATGATCAAATGGTTTGAACTATTGAAAACGTTAAACAGGCATATTTCACATGTTGGTAGCCTGGCTTCTCTGAAACACTCCTATTTTACTCTGAGGATTTTCGTGCATATTCCCGAACATATTGAGTTTTCTTGGTCAATTGAAAACACCATGTTGTTCTCCCAATCCCAAACAACAAAACAAATTCCACCAAACAAAAAATGTTTGGATATTATAAAGTTGGATAACTTTAAATTGTATAGATATTAAGGAGAAAAAGACATATAACAGATCCCGGCCCTAAGAATGTCTCTCTCCTTTTATATGCTTTGGAATTGTTTTATACTTTTCTTTGAACAGATTCTATATATTTTTCTACTTTTTCCCAAATTTTAATATTCTGTTCATGCTATTAAAACAACCAATTTTATTCAAATTTTTGTTTTACTATTTAAAGTGAGCTTGGGAGATAATTTAGGGTGTTTTATATTGTTTCTCAATATTGTTTATATATTTATTTTTCAAACTGGATTTCTTCTTCCCATATAGTACAGTGGGATATTTTTTATATAATATGGAAAGATTGCAAACTTACAGAACTCTTCTTTGTGCCTTTTTAAAAAAATTTTTATTTTATTCATATGTGCATACAATGTTTGGGTCATTCATTTTCCCCCCTTCCCCTGCCCCTCCCTAACCCCCCTGCCCCCTCACTCTCCCCGCTACCAGCAGAAAACTTATTCCCTTATCTCTAATTTTGTGTGAAGAGAGATTATAAGGCAATAATAGGAAGAACCAGAATATTATAGTAGTTGAGATAAGTTATAGCTATCAGGGAGTTTTCTCTCGCATTGATTTCTGTACATGTGTGTTACCTTCTAAGTTAATCTTCTTGAACTAACCTTTTCTCTAATTCCTGGTCCCCTTCTCCTATTGGCCTCAGTTTCTTTAAGTATTGTGCCCTTCTTAAACAAATTGAGACATACGTAATCATTTTTATTTACGATACGTAAATGCAAACTGCATTTGAATTCTTTAAATTTGAAATGTTTCATATATGTATAAAACATACATAAATTAATGCAAAATTCTAGGGAAAGAGATAACATGTGGAAACAAAATTCTCCCTTCTGCACCTCCGGACAAACTTCATTGCTCAACATGACACCTTTTTGTTGTTAATTTTTTTATAGTTGTAAATAAATTTAAATTTACATATAAATAATTTGAGATGAAGATCACTATGTTGCCCAAAAACTGGTCAGAACTTCTGGGTTCAAGCATATATACTCCTTCCTTAGCTTCTGAATGGCTGGACGTAAGGTGCACACCACTACATGGGCCGTTAAATTTGTTTGGGTAGAAGTACTGGGTTTGAACTCAGGCCCTCATACTTGCTAGGCAGGCACTCTACCAGTTGAGCTTTCACCAACCACTTTTTAACTTTTGAAATAGAAGGCCCTTCTTTTCATAAAACACAAATGAATTAATATGCACAATATTCTTATACCTTTTGTTGACTTACCAATTAATCATGAAAATGGTGGAATTTGGTTAAATTTATATTATGCAAGTTCTTGCTCCCTTTATCAGGTATTGTTAATTAATTTATACAAAACACATGCATGTGAATATTCTTTTATAAAGCGCCCACATAACTTTAAAAATCAAACAAAAGCATAAATTTTGACAGTGTAATTTTAAGAAGTAAATCAAGTCTTATGATTTTCTGGCAGTGTTGGAATTCCAAATTGGGGTCTTATACTTGCAGGCAAGCAATTCTACTACTAGGCTACACCCTGGCCCTGTGTGGTGTGTGTGGTACTGGGCTTGTAACTCAGGCCTTTCACCTTGAGCCGATTCCACCAGCTCCATTTTTGCTTGATGCTTTTTTGAGATACCGATCTTGTTGAACTATTTGATTTTCCTGGGCTAGCTTTGAACTGCAGTCTCCTGATCTCTGTCTTCCTGAGTAGTAGTAGCTAGATTCATGGGCATGAGCCACTGGTACCCAGGGTCAGGATCTTAACAGTGGTAGAAAATATAGTGTTTATTGCTTATTTGATAACTGGCTGGCCCTGTTTTGTTGTTGTTGTTTTAATGATAGGATTTTAATGAGCTTGACAAAGCTGTAACATCCATGAACCACCACCACAATCAAAATGCCACTCATTTCCTCCAACCCCCAAAAATCCCCTCATTCTTGTTTTAGCCAGTTCTTCAAGGTGCCCCACTACTGACGAAATGGATTAAGAAAATGTGGTAATTATTACACAATGGAATTTTATGCATCCATGAAGAAGAATGAAATGTTATCATCGCAGGTAAATGGATGGTACTGGAGAACATATTCCTGAGAGGTAGCCTGGGCCCAGAAGACCAAAAATCATATGTTCTCCCTCATATGTGGACATTAGATAAGGGCAAACAAACAATGGGATTGGACTTTGAGCACAGTGATAAAAGCGAGAGCACACAAGGGAGGGGTGAGGATAGGTAAGACACCTAAAAAAATTAGCTAGCATTTGTTGCCCTTAACGCAGAGAAACTAAAGCAGATGCCTTAAAAGCGAACTGAGGCCAATAGGAAAAGGGGACCAGGAACTAGAGAAAAGGAGATCAAAAAGAATTAACCTTGAAGAAAACACACACTCACAGGAAATTAATGTGAGTCAACTCCCTATATAGCTATCCTTGTCTCAACCAGCAAAAACACTTGTTCCTTCCTATTATGGCTTATACTCTCTCTTCAACAAAATTAGAGATAAGGGCAAAATAGTTTCTGCTGGGTATTGAGGGGGTGTGGGGAAGAGGGAGGGGGCAGAGTGGGTGGTAAGGGAGGGGGTGGGGACAGGGGGAGAAATGACCAAGCCTTGTATGCACATATGAATAATAAAAATAAATAAATAAATAAAAAAGCTGTGAAGCTCAGGCATTATTTTATCAACTCATGTCAAGATGTGCTTGTCAACTGAAATATATTCACCAATGTTTATGAGAGTTGCTCAAAACTCTTGAACATCAGCAATCTCAATATTTGTGCTTTTTAAAACTTTTGTTATGAAGTAACTGTTTCTTTATCTTCCAGGTGGATGCTTTCTGTGATGAACCATCAGACACCAGAGTGGATGTATCTCCAGACACTCTTACCTCTGCAGTGGGTGGTACTGACCACACTAATCATGCAGCTTACTTCTCTTTAAATGTTATTTGTACAGGTACAATTTACATTTTTTTAAATTTAAAATTCAGTTTTACTCTTTAAAAAATATTATCAATATAATCAATTAGATTTGGAGGTGGTTAAAAGCATCATCTCCAGGGTTAAATTTGGAACAGATTTATTTGATGAGAGAATTTTAGTACTAGAACTACTTCTGCAATATACTTGCCTGCTATGTTTGAGGTGAACCCTTGGAGCTTGAAAATAATGTACAACACAGAGAGATACATGATGTTTTTAAAACGTATGCTGTTATTTTTGCACCTATTGGATGTAGTTACTAATATTTTTGTAATTTTTGTCCATGTAGGTTTTGGGTTTCTAATCTAACTAATGGTATTAAGAGTATGAAAGAATACTATTTATTTCCTGTTCAAATGCTTTAAAATAAGACTTAGAGATAGCTTTGTACTTTTCCATGTGTGTGTGTGCCCATTGCTGAATTCTATTTGTGATTATTGGATATAACATTTTTGTTGTTTTATGCCTAAAGCAATAATTCATTAATTTAAAAATTGTATTTGAATTTAACTCAGCACAATGGAGAATTCTAGATAGGGGTAACACAAAATAAGGAAGATTTTATTAAGCCTTGCCTGTAAAGACCTCATAGTCTAATTGTGAGAGTCAGACGTGTGAATACATTAAAATGACATGATGAGGACAATCTTATTGAGCAAAGCAATGAGCATGACTGACCAATATGGGGAGAATTGGGGAAGGCTGCCTGGACTGAGTATGGTACCGAGCTGTACTCCATGTCCTTGCAATCCATGCCAGGCTGGATTTTGAAAGATGTATAGAAATAAAAAAAATTGTACCTGTTCAACCCTAATCAGCTGCCATTTAACATAGGGACAAAGGGAGACATTGTCTCAGCCACACAAAGTGGCTCTCTAGTTTACTTTTCTTGGATGTAAAAGCTAAAACTTGACCTTAGTTGGTATCCCAGGAAGTCTCCCAAAATGATTGAATTTTATGACCTGTTTCATCATAAATCCTCAATTCTGTGAGGAAAGGTATGTTGAATGCTAAACTCCAAAGTAATTTCCTAATCTCTGTAACCATGCCAACAGAAAGTCACCATCAATGGTAGTCTTACTGAAACCTTCTTCTCACAAATGGGGATGCTTGGACAGGTTAATAATGACAAAGGTATGAATGAAGCGGCAGAAGAGAGCAGGAAGGACTGATAGAAAAAGTACCTGATGTATAGGGAGAGGATAGAAACACAGGCATAGGTGAAAGTTTTAATGTATACAAAATAAACTGAGTCAGTCAGAGTAATAGCTCTCTGTAGAGTAAAAGAGAGAGAGGTGGCTAAAAAAGGAAGTCCTGCTGATGCCCATCACTGGAAAAGTACAAGAAGTCTTGAGCTCTTAACTAGTAACTTGTCATACATAGAATTGTCAGAATAGCTATTATGAATCTGGTTGTGAAAATGGCAAAAAAAAAAAAAAACCCACAGTTCCATTTTCAAAAAGGGAAACTAAAAGAAGAAAACCAGGAAAAATTATGTTAATTTTGTCTCACATAATGGGGAATCAATATATGTTGTTTCCTTATTCACTGGACAGATATTTGAGTACCTCACTCTGTTCCATGTACTGTTTTGAGCCTTCCTCCCTTTTTTTTTCTCTTTGGTGAGACTAGGGTTTGAACTCAGGGCTTCTCACTTGCAAAGAAGGAGCTCTACCACTTGGGCCATATCTCTTCTTTTTTTTTTTTTGAGACTATGTAATCCAGACTGGTCAGGAACTTGCTACATAGCCCAGGCTGGCCTCCAAGTCAGAATCCTCCTGCTTCTGCTTTGCAAGTGCTAGGATTATAGGCACTGGTACTGTTTTCATAACATTTGCATTCTAATATGGCAGATTATTGACAATCAGCATGTAAGGCTTCCCTCCCCTGCAAAAGCTCTGCTCTTCAGGATTGCACAAAGTACAGTGATAGGAAAACTGGGGCGGGGGTAGGGCTTACTGTAGACAGCTGATCAGGGAAGGCCTCTCACTTGAGCTGAGACCTGAAGGATAATAAGGAGCCAGCTGGGGAAAAATATTCTAAACCAGGAAGAGCCAATGTAACAGTCTTGAAAAACTTGTGGCATGTTCTAGAAATTGAAGGGAGGACAGAATGGCTGCAGTGTGCTGAGTATGTGTGGTATGACTCAAACGAGGGATGGTATGAGAAGATAATTGTCAATGCCAGTAGGATCCAGGTGGTGTAGAATCTGATCCTGTGTTAAATATATAGTTTAGACTATCAGATTGAATTTTATCGAAGAACCTTGGTGTGGTCAGTTCCAATGGAATGGTATAAACGAATACAAGCAATTGTAGGTAATTTGAGGAATAAAGGGTAGATGAGTATTTGTAGAATGTGTGAGATAGAAGGGTTGAGTATGTATTTTTTTGAGACAGAGTATTGTTATGTAGTCCAGGCTGGTCTTGAACTTGAAATGTAACCCATTCTGGCCTTAAGTTTATTATCCTCCTGCCTCAGCCTGTGTATCCTGAGTTAGAAGCCTGGGACCACAAATAAGGTTATTTCTTTGCTTTTCAGAATAAACTATTTCAAGTACTCACTTGAAAAATTAAAAGGAAGCTTTATGTAGCCTTCTTATCACTTTGTGGGCTTTCTCTTGTGCGTGGCTAAGCTGCTGAACCCAACTGGGAGCGACGTGGAATGAGAAATAAAGACACACAGACATAAAGACACAGAGCTGGGGTCAGGAGGGCTGCACATTCCTGGTGGGACACGTGAATGCCTACCAAGCTAGAGTGTTTATTTTATAGGTCAGTGCAAGGGAAGGAATCAGGTGAAATATACGTCAGCAATTCTTTTGATCAAAGGTAAAAGGAATGGAGTCTGGTGGGTTATTTTCTTCAGGCTTGTTGAAGGTTAACTAGAAAACATCTGGTCTGGAGATTGTCAGAGCACACAGGACACCTTATCTATAGCTATTGATTAATCTGGCATCAGGGAGTCTCCAAACAGTTCTAGTACTTTATCTAGTTTGCATCAGGGAGCTGGTATGTGGTCACAACAGGTTGTTTTCTTCAAAGGAGATGTGGGAAGAATGAGAATAGGAGAGCTTTGCAAGCTCCTACTTTGGAGAGACTTTGCATCTTCCAATATTTACCAGCCCAAGGTCCATGCCTGGTATCCAACACTCTTGGGTCTTGCCTTGACCAATAGCAGCATCTTACTCGGTCTAAGATGGCTTCCCTGTTTCAATATGCCTCTTAGTGACTAATAAAGTCATTAAAGATACTGGTTTTTAGCTGCTAACATTATGATGGTTGAATTTAGATAATGAGAAGCACAAGCAGAACATTGTGGTGAGAGGGGAGATGTTGAGATATTTATTCCCTAGCTATCTCATTGCCAGGCTGCAGGTTGGCTGTGTCTTTACACTTCTACCAAAGACCATAGCTTCTTTTGGGCAAACTCTCCTGTAGCTTAAGCTATACTTGGAGTAATCATATCTTCCATTGTCTAGCCTAAGACTTTCTTAAGACTAAAGAGGATGTTATAACTGATTAACATTAAATCCATTTTTTGACCTGTAGTGCTAGAGATGGAAGCAAGGGTCTCTCACAAGGTAGGTAAGTGCTATTCCTCTCAGCTATACCCCCAACTCTAAACCTGGTTTCGAAGTATTTATATATTGACAGATTGGCTTTATAGTTGGACTTTAAAATAGTATTATTCACCACACAACTGTACCCACCTCATTTTTGACAAAGGTGCCAAAAACATATGATGTATAAAAGACAGCCTCTTCAACAAGTGTTGCTGGGAAAAGTGGTTATCCATCTGCAAGAAACTGAAACTAGAGCCATGTCTATCACCCTGTACTAGTATCAACTCAAAATGGATCAAGGACCTAAATATCAGACCTGAAACTCTGAAGTTACTACAGGAAGGAGCAGGAAACACTCTGGAACTAATAGTTATAGGCTAGGACTTCCTCAATACAACCCCAGTAGCCCCAGCAACTAAGAGAAAGGATGGACAAATGGGACTTCATAAAATTAAAAAGCTTCTGTACAACAAAAGAAATGGTCTCTAAAGTGAAGAGACCACCCACAGAGTGGGAGAAAATATTCGCCAGCTATACATCAGACAAAGGACTAATAACTAGAATATACAGGGAACTTAAGAAACTAAACTCTCCTAATGTTAATGAACCAATTAAAAATGGGCAACTGAACTTAATAGAACTTTCTCAAAAAAAGAAATTCAAATGGCAAAAAAGCACATGAAAAAATGCTCACCATCTCTAGCCATAAAAGAAATGCAAATCAAAACCACACTAAGATCCCACCTCATCCCTGTTAGAACAGCTATCATCAAAAACACCACCACCAACATGTGTTGGTGAGGATGTGGGGAAAAAGGAACCCTAATCCTCTGCTGGTGAGAATGCAAGCTAGTACAAAGACTCTGGAAAAAAATTTGGAGACTTCTTAAAAATCTAAATATAGACCTGCCATATGATCCAGCAATCCATCTCCTGGGGATATACCCAAAGGAATGCTTGTGCTTGTGTAACTTGCTCAAGGCCTTGCATTTGATGTAAAACTCCACAAAAAAAAAAAAAAGATTTCCAACTGATTTTCTAACTGTAACAAAAACTGAAAGACTTCATCAAAAAAATCACTCTCATGCTTGGGCAGTTGGGTTGATTTACACAGTAGTCCTTCAGAGGGTCAGGTATGCCTGAAATCTGTTTCAACAGGACAAAGAAAAGAGAAAACTAGTGTGGTCATGGTAAGTCAGAATTTCTTTTGCATTCAATCCCTAGAATTTTTTGGTGATTTTGAATAATAAGTACATATACACATCTTATAAATCATGATTATTACAGCTTCAACTTGAATTGATTGAATATAATAGCATATTTGTATGCAGTTATAAATTATATTTGCACTCAAACCAATCCCAAGAACATGTCTACTCTATCGGTTTCTTAATTTCTAAGGATGAATGTTTACAATGATGCTTTGTTCCAAATTTATATTTGTATTAGCACTGCAAAACAAATAATTTTATCTCCAGAGTGTGACTTTAAAACTGAATTTACATCTAGCAATAAAGGAAATGCAAATTAAAACCACGCTAAGATTCCACCTCACCCCTGTTAGAATAGCCATCATCAGCAACACCACCAACAACAGGTGTTGGCAAGGATGTGGGGAAAAAGGAACCCTCTTACGCTGTCGGTGGGAATGTAAACTAGTACAACCACTCTGGAAAAAAATTTGGAGGCTACTTAAAACGCTAGACATTGATCTACCATTTGATCCAGCAATACCACTCTTGGGGATATACCCAAAAGACTGTGACACAGGTTACTCCAGAGGCACCTGCACACCCATGTTTATTGTGGCACTATTCACAATAGCCAAGTTATGGAAACAGCCAAGATGCCCCAGCACTGACGAATGGATTAAGAAAATGTGGTATCTATACACAATGGAATTTTATGCAGCCATGAAGAAGAACGAAATGTTATCATTGGCTGGTAAATGGATGGAATTGGAGAACATCATTCTGAGTGAGGTTAGCCTGGCCCAAAAGACCAAAAATCGTATGTTCTCCCTCATATGTGGACATTAGATCAAGGGCAAACACAACAAGGGGATTGGACTTTGAGCACATGTTAAAAGCGAGAGCAACAAGGGAGGGGTGAGGATAGGTAAGACACCTAAAAAATAGCTAGCATTTGTTGCCCTTAACGCAGAGAAACTAAAGCAGATACCTTAAAAGCAACTGAGGCCAATAGGAAAGGGGACCAGGAACTAGAGAAAAGGTTAGATCAAAAGAATTAACCTAGAAGGTAACACACATGCACAGGAAATCAATGTGAGTCAATGCCCTGTATAGCTATCCTTATCTCAACCAGCAAAACCCTTGTTCTTCCTATTATGCTTATACTCTCTCTACAACAAAATTAGAATAAGGGCAAAATAGTTTCTGCTGGGTATTGAGGGGGGGGAGAGGGAGGGGGCGGAGTGGGTGGTAAGGGAGGGGGGTGGAGGCAGGGGGGAGAAATGACCCAAGCCTTGTATGCACATATGAATAATAAAAGGAAAAAAAACTGAATTTACAATAGCATTCATATTTTCTGGCAGAGATATTTAACCTCTGCTAGAAATAACTTTCCTAACTTTGTGAATGCTCTCCAGACAATAGATCAAGTTAGGTTTATTACTTATTTCAGTGAGGGAACCTGTTATAGCTCAGTAAAAACATATTAGAAAGAGCCTATTATAGGATTTGGGATGTAGTAGGGTGATTTGGGGGAGGGTCAAAGGAAGAGGGAAATAGGTTTAAATTGAATGCTGTCACAAAGTGGGTGAAATTGTATGATTGGGTATTTTATAGGTGCCTAAAGGGCTTTGTTTTTGTTTGTGTTTTGACAAAATGATGAGGTCAACTTGCTTTGTTTCATTTTTATATCAACAACTCAAGTTCAGTATATAACAGGTACTTGAAAGCTGCTTTTGCTAAAAAGCACTGACTCCTTACTTGGGCCATAAGTTAACTGAAAACAAGATAAAAGCTTGGCATTCTAGCTTCCATTTGTGTCTGTGCCCTTTGCCTTGAGTCGTTTTATCCTGCAGTCACTTTGCAGCCATCGTGGAGTCCAGAAAGGACAGGACAATGGACAAAGATCACCTACCAGTCCGCAATGACTTATTGTAACAAGGCCCAACCTGACCAATCCTCAGACAATGAGCTTGACGACTTGTGACAGCCACCTAAGACCACTAGAACACACCTGTGACTAGGACTGATTAATAAATATGCCTATCTCTCCCTCTAACCCCAGCTCTTTCTCCTATTTAAACCTAAAGCAAATGTCTATGAGGGTAGATAGGTCAAAATTCATACCTTTCTTCTACCCGCAGTATGCCTGTGTCTCATTAATTACATCTTTCTCTGTCATTACTTGTCTCTTTGTTTGGCATGTTGTGGCAAGTGGCTAGACCTGACCAATGAGACCCAAGAGGTTAGGCCTGGGTGTAAAAATTCTTATGATAAATATTTGTTCAGTTTTGTTTGTTTGTGTTTTTTAGTTTTGACAAGTGCATGCCCTGAAACATTGCCCTCATGCCCTTCCCTACTCAATCCCTGTTCACATCATCCAGGCAAACAAACGTTCTATTTTTCCCTACCATGGATTTAATTAGTCCTTTTGAGAATTTTATATAATGGAATCAGACACACATAATCTTTTATGTAGGAGTTTTTTTTTCTTAAGAAGAATATTTTTAGATGCATATGTTTTTGTATGTGTCTATCGTTCATTATATCAAATGTATTACAGTTTTTCCATTCTCCTCTTGAAGGTCATGTTGGCTGTTTAGTAGCTTTTGGCTATTATGAAGAAAGAGGCCAAGAACATTTTTGTACAAGTCTGTCTGTGGACCTTTGGTTTTATTATTATAGATAATGTATTTAGGACTGGAATTGAAACTGCTGAGTCTTAGCTCATGGAAAAATACAAATCTAAGGAGCCATTGAAATTTTTAGATAGTTGAGTTTAGAGGTTGAAATGTTAGATAGTGTGTCCACTGAAGATTTTATGAAAAGGTAAAATTTCAGTAAAGAGCTGAAAAAAGAGAGTAAATGTCTGAGCCACATAGGGCTTTATAGGTCATTGTAAGGATTTAGCTTTTAGAGAGGGTGTAAGCAATTCTGTTGCTGAAAAAAAAATCCTAAGATCAGTTAAATTTAACAACACTTATTTTAGCAAGAAAAAGATTCTATAACTATGAGAATTTTGTACACAAAGATGGCTCACAATGCCTCTATTTGTGATATGATGAGCTACATTTATAACCAACAACGTAAGAAATGAGTACAGAGATTGCCTGATTGGTGAAATACAGTATTTACCATAGCTGGGTATAATTTGGCAACCTTCAGCCTGGGTTTGCTGAGGTTTCAGATGCTATGATTGGCTGAGGCTCAATTGCTTGGTTACCAAGGTATACTGTTTTGTTAGGTTACAAATTACAACTCAAGCTATGTTGCAGCTCACTGACTAAGGAGGCTTTTTTTTAGGCCATAATTTACCAGCCAAGTATGGAGTCTGATTTAGGCCAAGTTTAATTCAATTTAACATTGTGATATTAAGTGGATTGTAGATTTGGAAGACAGGTTAGGGTTCTGTTGCAATAGTCCTAAAGAGTGATGGAGACTTAGACAATGTTAGTAAAAGGTAAGGCTGATTTGATCCTGGAGGTAGAGGTAGATGTGAAAGTATTGGATGGTGAATTTGACATCATTCAACTACTGATACACGTGAAGGAAAGAGGAGTCATGAGTTAGTCCTCAGGTTTTTTAAAATTTGGACCACAGTAAAGAAAGAGGTCCCAGTTTTCAGATGTGCAAAATAAGGTTCATGAGAAGCAAAGTAAGGTTCATGAGAAGCAAAGTAAGGTTCATGAGTAGAATAGCAGGAACTCAGCCTCGGGCATAATGATTTGGGTAAGCATTTGGAAATATGAATCTGAGGTTGATTAGAACTTCAGGTACATACATTTTGGAGTTTTCAGCCTATGAGTATCACAGAAAGCCACAGGAAAGGAATGTGAAGAGAAAAATGTAAAAGAGCAAGAGAGAGGAGGTTCAATGCATGTCACAGGTTATTCTAAAATTTAGAAATAAAATGGGCTGGAGGATTAGCTCAAGAAATAGAGTGCCTGCCTAGCAGGCATGAAGACCTGAGTTCAAATGCCAGTACCAACACAAAAATGGAGGACACTAAAATTTAGTCATAATGGAATTGAACAGAAACAAGGAAAAGACTATGAAGGAACTAGGAAATTCTGTGTCATGTTGTGCAGAAATGTTTAAATTTGGTAGATATTGCCAGTTCTCTGATGTGGTCATACCGATTTACATTTTAAGTAGTATTGTTTGAGAGAATTACATTTGCTCCAAATTCTCCTGATACCTATTACAAAATATGTAAATATTTGTTTATAACTGTAAGACATTCAATATGTAGTATTCATTACTTATCCAAAACACCTGATGAAATTGTTTCTTTCTGTAGCAACATGTCCTACTGCAAATGTTACTACTAATGCAATCAACATTTATTTGGTACTGATTAGGTGTCAGGTACCATTGTGGGAGTTTTATATGTATTGATTAATTGTCCCTGCAAACCTAGATGGTAAGTACTAGTATTATGCTTCTCATTTTGGGGTCAAGAGAGATTAAGTACCTTGATGAAGTTTGCAAACTAAGTGGCAGTTTCAAGATTTGGAAACAGAAAGCCGTGTTCAAACTTGTGCTCTTACCTATGTACTTGACTGCCTCTCCAAAAGGAGTTGTATATATGACCAATTGTCTAATCAGCCCTTTGCTACTCATTAAAGACATTGGTAATGCACAGTTGACACTTTTCCTCATTTGACTTAGTCAAATTAGTAGAGAAGAATCAATGACTAAAGGATTACAAACTTCCTTTTTCTGACAGGACAATTTATAAGTTAACTGCTTTAAAATGTTCAAAATGAGCTGGGGAAGTGGCTCAAATGGTAGAGCACTTACCTAGAAAGTGTGAGGTCCTGAGTTCAAATCCCAGTACCACAAAAGATACTCAAAATGTATCTAGGATGTAGTAGAAACTATTTTAGGGATTATGTCAAAGTAACTTATGAAATAGAACATTACCAAAAAAACCTATTCCAATTTGATTTCTCTCCGTGATTGATTTAGATTTTGAGCCTTATCATGGTGACCTGGTAGAAGTTGAATTTTCCATCCAGCCAGGCACACAGAACAGAAAGGCCATCTCCGTGAAGCCTCTGGCACACAAGCATGTGAATGAGGTATTTTGTTTGCACATTGTACTTGTCCTTTGTTTCTGCATATTCTTCTTTAGTGATAATTTCTGATTCCCAGAATTCTACTGGGTGTGTTGGTAAACCTAAAATAAAATATGTTATTTGCCAAAAGGGAACTGATTTTCTCATTGAAAAGACTGCAGTTCTGAAAGAAATAATTAGAGAATAATGTAGAACATGAATATAATTAAGATCTAAATTATGTAGCTTATTTGGGAGGTATTAAATGTTCTAAGAGAAACAAAAGTAGAGAGCATTTGGGCTTCAGGGAATTGTTGGGAAAAAATGGTGAAGTGGGATTTGAGGATACCAGTAATAGCTGGTATGATTTTGGTAGTGGAAACGGAATATGAGTTGGTAAACTAAATGCATTTTGTACAATAAAAAAATCAAAGGAATGAGCCTGGAATATGACCAAGGAAGTAGGAAAAATATTAGTATACCTCTCAACCCTAATTAGAGGTTAATAGCCATTGTGAGTGATATTTAAAGCTAGATATCTTATCAGAGATCCAGGACCCATTCCCAGAGATTTTGTTTTAATTGGTGTGATGTGGAATCTGGGCACAAACATGTTTACAAAGCAACCCTGGCATTAGCAATGTGCCAAGCAGGTTGGGAATAAGTGATGGGGGACGCGATCTGCAGGTTAGAGCCAGAGTGAGGAAGTGAGAGACCTGTTACAATGGATATGCTTGCTTACAATAATTTTCATCTTTTCTCATCGCAGGTCTGCATTACTAGCATACATGGAAGACATGGGGTGGTGGACAATGCTATCTTTTTCACTTTGGATTCTCTGAAACTTCCTCCTGGATACGTTCCTCAATTACATGACCTTGTCAATGTGGTCATAGTGGAGAGCGCTCAGTCCTGCTATACCTGGAGAGCGGTTTCCATGACCCCAGTGCAAATGTCGCAGTAGCCAAACCTTGTATTCACTGTTCGTCTTTAGTCCTATAGACACTACAGGCATGATTTAAAGTTACAGCTTGCCTTCAGTTTTGAGTCTCCTTTATGCTATGTCTAATGTTTATTTACCTATAGCATTTTTCCACCTATCACTAGTGTTTATCTATGACTCTTGTCCCATGTTAGAAATTAAATGCCATAAAGATAGGGTATTTTCAGGTGTGTGTGTGTGTCTTTCATGTGTTTTATTAATCCATCAGCAAGCTCTTAGGCTAGTGCCTGGTAGATATAGGGGCAGATTACATGTTACCAACTTTAATAAATGAATTATCTGGGCATCAGTAGAGCTTACCTGTGGTCAATTCATCATTCAGTTCCTATGAGTCTAATGCTCAGTGTCCCATCATCCCATGAAGACCTCAGATGACCCTTAAACAAAAACGTTGCCATATGTAGTGTACGTAGGCCTCCTTGGGCCACTTTGTGGGAGAGGTGCATCCCATCTTCAGACTGGAATCAGGAGGCAACCCCAGAGCTGCTTGCAGGAATGGGAAGTGGCTTTTCCCTAGAGTTTGAGCTTGCTTTACAGGTCCAGTGAGCCTTGCCAACCACTCAGTGTTTAGTGCCACACTTTATAATAAAGGACACTAGCAGAGAAGAATAGCTTCAGAGTTTGGGCTTTTGCTCTTTGGTTCAATCCATGAATTCTTACCACGGTTCCATTTTATGTGGCAGATGTTGTTCTAGGCACTGAAATTTAAAAAAAATTTTCAGGCCCTAGTTGAATTTTTCTTCTCTTATGTCCCTTGTTCTTCCTGACCCAGGAAGCAGTAGCTCCTAGGAGAAGAAGGGCAAGTGGGAGCTGGGGCAGCACCAGGCCCTTGTGAAAGTCGTTCCTCCTGCCACCACAAGATTCTGGCATCCCAGTGTTTTGCTGTTGTGTTTCCAACTGCTATGAATGGGTTATAGAAGGGCTGATTATATAAATGTCCTCAGCTCATTTAAGGATACATGAAATAAAAAAGGAAATAAGGCAAAAAGCTTGACCAGGGGTTGACAAAGTTCATCTTTTTGGCCAAATCTGGCCTGTTTACTTATTTAAAACAGTTTTACTAAGAGGTAATTCACATTATATATAATTCACCCATTTAAATTTCACAAGTCAGTATTTTTAGTATATTTTCCATGTTATACAATCATTACTACAATCTTACTTTTAGAACATTTTCACTCCCACTTCAAAACATTCTGCAACAGGAATATCAAGAAGATTCTACATTTAATCATTTGGATAGTTAGAAACACATTCCTTCCCTTGCCTATATTTTAAAATTCAGCTCTTTGAGTGGTTCTGAAGCCCTGCCTCATTGCGAACTGCTACACTGAGTTATTCACACATGAATGTGAAAATGGCATCAGATGTCATTTGCTATCCAAATGTCAAATCTCCGTTCCTATTTGGGTGTGCTGCTCAGGTTCCTTAAATGCATAACCAGTTGCCTATTGCAGTGTATCTTGGGTCAGACTCAACCGTCTGAAAACAAATTTTTACCTTCCATGTCTGGGCCCATACCTTGGATTCACTCTATGCTATGCTTTAATGACTAGGACCACCAAATTCTTCATCCAAAGGGAACGTGAACTGGCCTTGCAACAATGCAAATGTTGCATTGTCACTTTTCTATTGATTTATTCTTGTTCATGCTGTTCATTCTTTTTAAGAATTCCATCTCTATAGTTTTAAAAATACATCATTGCCTGTGAAAATCCCACCCTATTTCAGGCTAAAAGCAAATTTAAATGTGAAATAGAGACTTGAACTAGTAATAGAAGATGTCACTCCAGAGGATCGAAGAAGTTTAGTCAAAGATTTAAGTGAAAAATAGTCATACGAGGCTTTTTGAGTGGAACTAATCTTGTTCTGTACAGGCTGAAAATTTCTTCATATTCCTTTTATTACAGAATGAGTTTTCTATATTTGGTGGTGAACCATTCCCACACAGCTGCTTTCACCTATATGCTGAATCAGCATAATATCTTATGTAATATGTGCCCCTTTGTTTAGGGACTCTCTGAATTGCTATTTTGGGTGTTTGGGAGCTTTTATGAGGCTGTTTAGGTGAGCAGATAATAGCAATGACCGTTCACATTTGGAGTATTACCGTTAACCTGACCCCATCTCAGCACTAGGTCAGCCATTCTGAAGCTTGTGATGACTGTCCAGTGACACATCTTTGTCAAATGCAGACGGAGCAAAGCTGCACACCACATGTGTGTGGTATCTTCTATCAGCTCAGCTCTATTTTATATGAAGGGTATAAAACTGGAAGTTCTGTGAGTTATCATCTTCCAAAAACAGAGTACTTAAGGCAAGTTTACCCTGGCACCCTAATCTATTCAGAAAGATGGTGGTAGTGAGAGGGGTCCAGCTTGTATGGAGGGGGCCAGGATCTGGGGAAAGTGCCATTGCAGGTGAGACACAATGAGTCAGACACCCTCAAGAGGTAGGTAGCATCTATTGCCATATATCTTCTCCCTATTGTGGAATGCAGACTCTAAGGTTGCCCCCTTTGAATGCTGTGCTGTGTTTTCACACCTCTGTGTGATCCCTACCCCCCTGAATGTGCTGAGACCTATGACTTGCTCCTCAACACTAGATTATGGCAAAGATAATGAGATGTCATACTTCTAATTGTGACTACATTGAGTTACGTAACACTTCATCTTGCTACCAGACTTCAAGAGGCTCTCTTGACTGGCTTGATAAAAGAAATTCACCGTAGGGAAAGCTTACCTTGATAGGAACGCAAGTGGCCTATAGGAACTTCAGGCAAACTCTTAAGGGAAAAGGGAAATCTCCAGGTAATAACCAACAAGAAGTCAGGGCCAACATTCTTTCAGCAACCCAAGTGAATTTAGAAGTGGATTCTTCTGTGGTTGAGCTTCTAGAGAAAAACATCTTGATTTCTTAATTTTGACCAAAAACTTGATTTCAGCCTTGTTAGACCAGGAGCAGAGGATCCAGTTAAGCCATGCCCAAATTCCAGGCCCACAGAAACTGTGAGTTAATAAATGTGTGGTAGTCTAGGACAAACAAACTCAAAACTATTGCAGTGTCTCTGGATCCAGCCCTGGTCACGAGTCTGAAGCTACTGCTGTAATACACAATTCTTGTAAATGATGTCTATGAATAGTGGTATTTTTCAAGCTATAGTACTTCTCAGGTTTCTTCTATAGAAGTTTGTGGTTAATACTAAAGTGTGACCCATGTGGGTACAGTCTAGAGGCAGCTCAGGACTTCAAGCTGTCTGATGGTTAGTGGTGGGAATAGGGCTTTGTAGTTTTGATTGTGCTGTGCTACTGGGGAAACAAAATAGCCATTGTGGGGAGATGCAGTGTATCGCCACACTGGTGTACCCCCACACTGGTGTACCCACTCAATCTCATGTAACAACTGAGGAATTTGAAACATAGATGCCCGTACAAGAGGGACCGAAGTCACACACTCCCTTTCATGAGAGGCAGGGAAGGTCCAGTCATTTGCGTTGCTCCCTATCTCACATAGAAGCATGTAAAAGCGCCATGACAGTTGTGTTCAGTATCTGAAACAAATTGGAAAAGGATTATGACTTAGTGTAGGGTATTTAGTTAACAACAGGAAGTGGCTAGTAGTCTTTCTCTTCTTGCAGCTTTGTTTCCTTTCCTCAAACACTGAGACAATCACCTAGAAAGTAGGCCAGGAGAGTTTGGTTGATATAAGTTAAATGTATAAAAATGCATACCCTTCTAATAACTATAGGATGCAGGACAATAAAAATCCTACTGGCACTGATCAAAACATTACAAAACTCAATGAATATTATGAACAAAATATAAGGAAAATACTCATGAGACTTCTATGAGTTTCCAATTTGGACACTAAAATAATATTTTAAAACACCAATTTTACTGGGAAGGAAGACTAACTTTGAAACAGTCTCCATTATTCTCTAAATTAATCAATGAATACAGCGCAATTCCAGATATAAATCAGAAAAGGATTTTGAGTGGGTGGAAATCTGGATGGCCATTTTATAAAACTATCTTGAAGAGAACAGGGGAAGGATTGTCTAAGAGGGAAGCTGGTCACACTGGGTACCAAAATTCAGTGTATGGGGTTAGCAATTTAAACAGGAAATGATAAATATGTCATTGTTCCAAAACAGAGACTCTGGAAATGTAGAAATGTGAGGATCAAACAGCTGGGAATTTGATTCACTTGGCCGCTTAGGGTCAACTTCATTGCTGCTGTAGGCACTCAGGAATTCATTAGCACCCACTGGACCCTAATGCCTTTCTTTTAGCTAAATCACCTTTTTATACTATCTCTCTATGCTTTAGTAGAACATACTATTTGTGAAAATGACAGCTTTGATAAGTCAATTTGATCATGCTATGGGAACCCTTAAACCTCCAACTTATCTTCAGCATCAAACTTGGGTTGTTTTTGTCCTAGACTGGTTTCTCTGCCATCTCTTTATACTGACACCTTTCACTGTCCTGTGCAATCTGACCAGAGTACGCATTCTTCTGTGAGAGGCAATGTGTTTCCCACTCCTGCTTGTGCTGTTGCTCCCTTGTCCTTAAATGTACCTGCTCTCCCCTGTGACCTACATCAACCATCATGCACTGCACATGGCAGTCCTGTGCCTCCTTTTCTCACAGTAGTAGCCAAGCCATCCTCCAAAAATCCTTTGCCAATTTCTGGTTGTTCTACCACACAGATTCTGCCTGATCTGGCAACGACAGTCAGTGGACCAACAGACACTGTGACTTCCTGAAGGGAGGATATTTCTGGAGACTTCTCAAATGAGAAGTCTAGTTTTAGTACTTGCTTATGCACTTATTGAATCCTGAAAATGTCATGCTATGTACTGAGATTTATTTCATTTCACCAGAAGAAGCAGCTAAGCTGTCCAGTGAAAATATGTTTGTAAATTGGGAGAAGAGTAATAAGACATTAAGTCCATAAAC